GGTGGGGCGGGGCATGGAGCTGCATCCAGTTCGAGGCGTTCCAGTGCGTCCTCGCCGACCCCTTGGCCCGCCCGCCGCGATCGCGGCTGCCGGGCGCGCAATGTTGCAATCGCCTCTTGTCACCCTCGCGGAAACCTCTGCCCTCTCACCTCGCTGCTTCGAGGGGCGGGGCGAGGCGGGCGGGGGAAGGGTCAGAGCGGGGGCACCCGCGAAAAGATGACGCGCTGATTGTAATGTGTGTGTATTTACGAACGAGCGAGGAGGGGACGGGGGAGTAGGGCGGGGCGAGGCGGCCCCGGGCAGAACCGAAAGATTAAAAGAAGAGGGAAGACATAACGGAGGAGGACGGGGGAGAGGGGCGAGGAAGGGGTGAGCCGGGGTGAGGGGAGAAGATAAGACGAGGGAAGACAGAGCGGGGACAAATCAAAGGCAGAGTGCGCCAAACCGCGACAGTCACAACGCTTCGAGCGCCCGTCGCATGCACACGCAGCCTCCCGCGAGCGCCCCGCTGGACCAATAGAGATACCTTTACGCGACGAGGATAACACAGCGAACGGCAATAAAAAGAAAAAGAGAGAGAAAGAAAAAAGTTCGCTTGTGCGTCCGCGTATCAGGGAGACGAGTGTGAGAGAAAGAGAAAAGAGAGAAAGTTGGAGAGAAAGAGAGACAGAGTGTGTGTGAGTGTGTGTTTAGTGCCGGCTACCCTCGCCGGTTCCTCCTCCGCTCATCTCGTTCGCACGCCCGTCGCGCGCCCCGCCACACACCCGCCGCACAGCGACCTGTTGACTTCAGCGCCGCCCGTTACAAGTAAGTGCAAATCATCTTCCTCACGCTCAATGTATTTTTTATAGTTTTGTGCAAACTTTCGCGCTAATGTTAAAACTTTAAGTTTCGTTTCGAACAAATTCGTGCGCAAAACTGCACATGTTTTCGTGCAAATGCATGCAAAAAAGTGTTCAAATCAACGCAGAAATGTGTGCAGAGAATTCGATTGCTGAAAGTCGTACGAATCGAATGATACAAATCAAGTGAGTGTATACGCACCGCCGTCGGTCCCCTCGGTGAACACTTTGGTGACGAGCGCCGTCTTGGCGAGGTAGCTGGGCTCTGCGCTCAGGTCGACGCAGAGTTTGCGGAAGGCCCTGAAGTAGTCGTCCTTGCTCGGCGGCGGTGGCGGCGGCGGGGTCACCGGCTTTGCCTCCTTGACCTCCTTCTTGGCCCGCGGCTTCTTCGCTTTCGGGGTAGCGTCGCCCTCCTTGCGCGTCGCCCGCGGCGACGGCGCTGAAAAACACGCACACGTCAGAAACGACTTTTGTCAAGCAAAAAAAAAGCATGTCGGCGACCGGCATATTGGGATGCGTGCGTGGTCGCGCACTTGAGCGCCTCGCCGGCGGCCTCCCGGACGGCGCGCCGCTCGATCGCGTGGGCGGGCGGTCGGCGGGGAGGCGCCGCCGAGTGGGTCTCGGGGGGTCTCGGGGGGTCGCCCACGCCTGGCAGCGGGCGGGCGGCGCGCGGAGCGGTCTCCCCACAGCAATGACGGACACCCCACGGCATTACCATTTCAATTTTAATTACCATTCTATTTCGACTCGGCGACCGTCTTGCTTCCAAGCCACTAGGAATGAGATACAAGGGAGAATGAAATGAAATAGGAGGGGAAATAAAAACAAAAAAAGAACTCACGGTTGGCGCCCGTGCTCCTGAGGTAGGCGACGATCTCGTCCATGTCCTCCTGGATGAGGTCCTCCCAGCCCTCGATGTCGCCCTCCGGGTCCTCGATCTTCTTGGTGCTGGGCCGCTGCTTGGAGAAGGCCTCCCACAGGCAGGCCGGGTGGAACCACTGCTTGGCCCAGCCGCCCGAGGCGCTGAAGGCGTTGGGCACGATCTTGGCGATGCGCAGCTTGCCCGCCTCCACCGGCTCCTTGCAACGCTTGCACTTGGCGCGCCCGTTCTTGGGCCGGTCGGCCGCGAACAGGCGGTCCGGGGGCGCGACCGGCCCCGGCAGCTCCTCCGACGACATCCTCCTGGGCGGCGAGGGGAGGTGCGCCCGGAACTAGAGTCCTAGATCCAGGACTTTACCTGGAACCATAAAGGGAAAATTGACTTGATGGTGTTTTGGAAACATTTATGTCAATGTTAATTAAGTGAAATTCGACGAACTTCAAAAAGGCACGACGAAAACTTTTGCTAAAATTATGTTGCTAGGGACGAAAGCGCTCTTTACTGTATCACCTTGTGGAGGTACCCTTCTGGAGTCGCAGCCCCGTCACTGGCGACCCAGTGGCGCCAGTTGTGCAACGATTCGCTGATTAGACTAAAGGGGTGAAACCCGACGAAACCTCTTTGGCCGGGGGTGGGGGGTGGAATCGTTGTTTGAAAAGGGGGTAAAGTCAGTCCAGAGGAAGGACTTCCGTCCTCAGAGAGATGAGTTCTAGAAGACTCGCGCCCTGGTCGGGCGTGTGCCGCACCGAGAGAGAGGGAGGGAGAAGGGATAACCCGGCAGACGTTTTCTTTTTTCGATTTTTTTTTTCGTTTCGTTTTCATTGTTTATCTCCACTCTTATTCGTTCATTTTTTTTAATAGTTTTTTCACCAGCGCGGCTGGCGGCCCCGCCTCTGATCGGTTCAGTTGGATCGGCCGCGCGATGATGAGTTGCAGTGGAAAAGGCCGCAGGAAGGAGAGTATCTTGCATTATCAGACGTCGCAAGGCGGGGCGGGGCAGGGCGGGGGTGTGCCAGGAGGTCACGCATCAGCCGTCCAGGCACCGCGCTGTCTGGCCGTTAAGCAGCGGCAGAATGCCTATCAGCTTGTCTGTCTCTCTCTCTTACTGTGTGACTAACGCTCTATCGCCTAGAGTCGATTGTACCCGCCGCATGCTGAACCCATAGAAAGGCAATCAAGGCGTTGAGGCGTACCGACTGGCAGAGCCGGAACGACAGGCAGCAGGTTGCAACGGTGGGCGAATAACCACATCCCAGCATCCGGTGCACCACGAGCACGCAGCTGGGGCATTCACGTCACAGGTCATGTGCGTCGTGCCGTGCGGCGTGACTCAGTCACAGCCCAGGGGGTGTGACGCGACGCGCGCGTCGGTCCGGTCCACTCGATTTGTTGAGCGGGCCTCCTTATCACTCTACCAAAAGCTTATCAGTCGGATCCCAGGTGGGCCGAATCAGAAACGCTACTTAACAGGGGCGGCGTTATCGGACGGGCAGGGCGAGAAGAACGGCGGCGCCCCCAGCCCCCACGCTCCACCAGCCGAGGGGGGACAATGAGAGCGACCCCCGCCCCGCCCTGCCCCGCCAGTTCCGCCTCGCGACAGCTGCGCTCGGCTCGGGCATCCTGCCCTGCAGGCTTGAGGTCGGCGACGAGGCTGTCGCCGCCGCGCCCCGCGCCCTTGCCGCCCTGGCACGCCGAGTGGCATGATAAGTGTTGCATGAGCGGGTCATTTAAAATGTCAAACGGTCGCGAGCGTATCACGCCAAGTACCCGCCTCGAACCGATAAGTATATGACAAAAGACCGAAAGATGCTCTCTATTCTTCCTGCTGGCTTCTTTCTTTCTTTCTTTCTTTCTTTCTTTCTTTCTTTCTTTCTTTCTTTCTTTCTTTCTTTCTTATTGTTATTTTCCCTTCTGTTTCGAGTCCTGTCCGAATCTCTCGTTTTCCTCCTTTGCAGCGCAAGGTGTCTCCCCACCCCCACACCCCTTCCTCCTCAAGGGTGTCCGGTAACAGACGCCATTAACAGCTCGTGGCCCGCCCGCTTATCCCCGGCTGACTGTCCATCGGCACAAACCCTCCCGCAGAGCGACACTGGGGGGTGAAAAATCACGACGAGACCGACGACTAAATGACTACGGTAACGCCAGCCTTGCTCTCATATAACTCGTCCAAACCCATAAGATTACGAAAAAAAAATGCACTTTTGCTTTAAAGTTGTTTCATTTGGTCCACACTCTACTGGTGAAAAGTGGAAAGAGCGTAAGTCCACGGAAGTATTGGACTTACGCCCTTTTCACTTTTCAACAGTGACTTATAATAGCTTCCTCTTTTAATGAGCGTTTGTTTTCTCCTCTGTCGCGTCATCTCGTCTCTTACGTAACGTAAATCAGACGTAAATGTCATAGCCGCCCCCGCGGTCCCGCAGCAGCACGTTGTCCTCCTCGCCCGCCCCCCGCGCGGCTGGCTCCCCCGGCGCGCGCGCCCCACGCTCATTGTCCCCCCCAAAAGAAGGATGATTAAGTGGCGGTGGATGAATAAGAGGGGGATGCCCCCCAACCCACCCGGGGCGTGGGCGCCGAGGTGCGGCCGCGGCGGCAGGGCGTCCGTCCATAACGCGCCCGAGCTGGCCGTCACACCCACCCCCGACATCCACTACCCCCGGGAGAGAGAGAGCGAGAGAGGGGGCGAGCGAGAGAGAGAGGCGGAGAACCGCACTGGTGGCCCTCCCCAATCTGCCCAGGACAAACAGCGGCACCACGGTACCTCCGGCGCAAACACACGAGGCCGTCCGCCGAGAAGGACAAGTTATGTGAGGCCAAGTCCAGCAGCAGCAGCAGAAGCCGGCCGTGCGCAACCTCGGGGCCGCGTAGCAGTCATCGCATGCTCGCCGTCTTGTTGCTGGAGCCCAAAGGACCGGTTTTCCCACAAATAAAAAAAAAAGTCAACAACAAAACGAGGCTTTGCTACCGAGCCGAGTCCGCAGATAGCGGCAATCGCCGGGGCTTCCGCACGCTCGGAGGAGAATTATTGTTATTATGTTGTATCGTCGAAAAAAAAAAGGGTTGTCGTAGCGGAGCCGTGCGTTTGTGGATATGGTCGCGGTCTCTTTGGCTCGGCCGAGATAACCCGTCGGGGCAGCCCGCGGGCCAGAGAGGACGGCACGGCCAGGGCCAGGGCGCGGCACGGCCGCTCTTCAAATCGGCGAATTGGAGGCCAAGCAGCTGCGGCGGCGTCCTCAGGCCTTCAGGGCCTGCGGGGGCGCCGTCGTCGCCGACCCCATGACCCACATGACGGCTGGGCGGCGCGGTTACACTATCCGTTTAGCGCGCCCTGTGATGCAGGAGCGCCATCTGTTTGGGGGGACTCGCCTTATTGATAGGAAGAAGCCTCCATCCCCATGAACCCCCAACTGACCGCGGCCCCGTTGTTTCGTGTTGCAGGATGGCGATGACCCGCTGCCTCCTGGATACCGCCGCCGCCACCTGCAGCTGCCCGCTCTGCGGCTGCCACCAGCAGCAGCAGCGCACCGGTCCAGCCCCGGCGGCCCGCCCAGCAGCGCCCCGGAGACGGCACTACCCGTCGTTCACCGGTGAGTCCCAATCGCGTTAGGGGTGGTGGTGGTGATGGTGGTGGTGGACGCCTCGGCTCGGCGAATCACAAAAGAAGCACGGCGGCCTCGGTGTCCCCGGCCGCCGGGCCGGGCCGGGCTCGCGGTGGAGCTCGGCAGCCGCTAATGTATTCATTAAAAGGATCAAGCGACGCCGCCGCGCTCCGGGGCGCGCGGAACTCCTAGGGCGTCCCTCCCTCAGGCTCGCGTCAGGCGTGCGTCAGCGGGCAGCCACGTAATGCCGCGCGCAAAACCATCCAGAGAGAGCGAGAGAGACTCCAAAACGGCTTCATTTCGCGAGCCGCTCTCTCCCGCTCCGACCCGTTTGGAGTAAATATTCTTAGAGTCAACAAAAGAGGCACGCTTACCGCACGAAGGGTACCACCGCCACGCCGCATTAAAAAGAAAACAACAACAACAACATGCGGTTCGTATTTGCCTCAGCAAGCTGAGGGCGAGCGAGAGATGTTAGGCCTAAACAGAAGCATACCGCTCGGGAACAAGGTCAGAGTCTGGGGAGGTCCAAGAGTGCATTGTCTCAACGGGGTGAAAGCGTAGTAGTAAGGGATCCACCACAGCCTGAAGGCTATATGGGTGGGCACCACGGTCATGGCCACGAGAAGGGGGAGGCGGAGGAGGAGGACGTGGAAGTGACGCCCAGGGCGTCGTCGAGGGTGAGTTGGGGAGCGAAAGGGGGCTGCTGCCGGGGAAGACGATTTGGGGCGGAGGCGGCCGACGGCGGCGGCGCTGGCGCGGGGGTCTCGTATACAACAGCGCGTTACACGGCCCCGGTAATTGCCGCGGCGGCGCCCGGGAGCACGGCGGCCGCGGGGCAGGGGGCCCGGGGCAGGAGCTCCCCGCAACACAGCTCCCTCATCCGAACTAAGGTGGTGGCGCCATGTGGCGCCC